ACACAAGCAATTAACACAGTAAAACTATTTGGCGAATGGCGACTAGATCATTTAAATGACAGTAGGTGGCCTGTGCTGAACAGATCCTCGCACATGACCACCAGGTAATGATCGCATTTCAATGAGAACTCCGCGAGTCGCACATACAGGTAGTTCGCTTGACAACCATATATGCTATCATCCTGGTTGGTCGTTACCCGATGAAATCTCGCGAGTCGCTACAGAACGCCAGCGGTTTCTCGCCAACGAAGGGTAGAACGCGCTCGTATCGTCGCTAAGCATATCTAGGGCAGCTGTTTAGGTTCAGCAAAAGCATTATGATGTCTGGGTAAAGGAGAAGCACAAGGACGAAACCTTTTTACAATAGCTTTAAATATTCGACGTATACTATATCATATATATTTATAATATTATATAGGGCCTATATATTATATATTATACATATGTATAGGTATACGCTATAATGCATAAGGTGTATGTGTATTGTGTATGTGTATGTGTATGTGTATGTGTATGTGTATGTGTATGTGTATGTGTATGTGTATGTGTATGTGTATGTGTATGTGATGTGGTATGTGTATGTGTATGTGTATTGTATGGTATGTGTATGTGTATGTGTATGTGTATGTGTCTATGTGTAATGTGTATGTGTATGTGTATTGTATGTATGTATGTGTATGTGTATGTGTATGTGTATGTGTTGTGTATGTGTATGTGTATGTGTATGTGTATGTGTATGTGTATGTTGTATGTGTATGTGTATGTGTATGGTATGTTATGCTGTATGCTGTATTGTGTTATTGCGTCATGTGATGTGTATGTGTAGTGTATGTGTATGTGTATGTGAATGTGTATGTGTAAGTGTGTATTGTGTATGTGTATGTGTATTATGTGTAATTATGTGTATGTGTATTTGTATGTGTAATGTGTATATGTATGTTGTAAATGTGTATGTGTATGATGTGTATGTGTATGTGTATGTGTATGTGTATGTGTATGTGTATGTGTATGTGTATGTGTATGTGTATGTGTATGTGTATGTGTATGTGTATGTGTATGTGTATGTGTATGTGTTTGTGTATGTGTATGTGTATGTGTTATGTGTTATGTTGTTATGTGTATGTGTATGTGTATGTGTATGTGTATGTGTATGTGTTATCGTGTATGCTGTATGTGGTATGTGTATGTGTATGTGTATGTGTATGTGTATGAGTGTATGTGTATGTGTAGTGGTATGTGGTATGTGTATGTGTAATGTTGTATGTGTATGTGTATGTGTATGTGTATGTGTATGTGTATGTGTATGTTATGTGTATGTGTATGTGGTTATGTGTATGTGTATAGTGTATGTGTGATGTGTATGTGTATGTGTATGTGTATGTGTATGTGTATGTGTAAATGTGTATGTGTATTGTTATGTGTCTATGTGTAAGTGTGTATGATGTGTATGTGTATGTTGTATTGTAATGTGTATGTGTTA